CGATAAGCAACTTCAGCAAAGTCTCAGCATACAAAATCAATGTGCAGAAATCACAAGCTCTCCTATATACCAATAACAGACAAAGAGAGAGCCAAATCAAGAATGAACGCCCATTCACAATTGCACAGATATGAGTGGGTTAGAAAGTTTGGGGTGAGGAGGCACTTATGATCACTTTATCAGGATTTTCTCAATTAAAAAAAGCAGCGTCATCTGCTGAGATGGGAGGAAGGTGACAGAACTTTGAGAAGAAAGGACATAAATTGGTTTTACTCAGAGAAAAACAACTCACAAGTGTGTAATCAGGATTGAGACACTGATGAGAACCAAATTGCATGTGTGCTCATAAATTTAAAGTGAGTCCAGCCAGGACAGTTGTGAGTTTCTGGTGGTGATTCCTTGATCTTGGGTGACAGGATGATCTATTCTCTTCCATTGTCCTATTGATTCTAATGCCTGTACTACGTTTAGCTTTATATTTTAATATTTTGTAGGGCTAGTTTTACTTTATTTTTGTAGAAACTTTTTTATTTCTTTTGGCATTTTTGTTTTACTTTTTAGCTTTCAGTGTTGATTATGTTTATTCTATTTTGGAGGAATCTGATTAGATTAGGTTGGTACAGAAATAATTATGGTTTTTGCCCTTTTTTTTTTTAAATGGCAACACCCACAATTACTTTTGCACCAACCTAAATAAGTCCAGATTAAATTTGCCTAGGGTAACATAAAACATAAGAAGATTTTATTATTTCTTTTAATTACAAATCATTTTTAATAATTCATTTAAGAAATATTGATTGAATGCCTATAAGGCCTTGCCTGAGACCTTAGAGATACAATGGGGCAAGAGATAAAAATTATAGTCCCTGCTTCCACAGAGCTTTCAGGCTGGGGTAGAGGTCAGCAACCTATGCCCTTTAGGCAAATCCAGGCTACTTCTTGTTTTTGTACAGCCTATCAACTAAAACAAATTTTTTAAATTAAACGTTTATTTTAACATTATTATAGATTCACATGAGGTTGTAAGAAAGAATACACAGAGATCTTCTATACCCTCTACCTGGTTTCCACTCAGAGGTAACTTTATGCAAAACTATAAAATAACATAGTATAACCAGGATGTTGACATTGAAAACTGCCAAAAGACAGTACATTTCTATCAGCACAAGGATCCTTCACGTTGCCCTTTCATAGCCCAGACACTTCCCTCCCACCCAGACACCTTCCTAACCCCTGGAAACGTTTAATGTTTTCAGTTTCTATATTTGTTACTTCATAAAGGTGACAGAAAGTAAATCATATAGTATGTAACGTTTTGGAGTTAGCATTTTTTTCACTCTCAGAGTAATTCTCTGGTGATTCGTTGAGTTTGTTGCGTTTATTTCAGTAGTTCGTTACTTTTTATTGTTGAGTAAATCCATGGTATGGCTGTGCCACAGTGTGTTTAATCATTAACCTGTTGAAGGACATTAAGGTTATTTCAACGCTTTGGCTATTATGAATAAAGAAAGATCTTATAAACATTCTTATGAACATTTTTTTCCCTCTGGCATGGATGCTGAGAATCATATTTGCTAAGTCTTATGGTAGTTGCATGCTGAGTTTTAAAAGAAACTGCCACCAGACTGGTTGTACCGGAGACTATCAATCAAATTTCTCTGCATCCTTGCCAGCATTTGATGTTGTCACTATTTTTTATTTTAGCTATTCAAGTGGGTGTGTACTGATATCTCATTTTGGCTTCAACTCATGTAATGGTTAATGATACTGAACGTTTTTTCATCTGTTTATTTACTATCTGTTTATTCTCTTTGATGAAATGTCTGTTCATGTCTTTTGATCATTTTCTAATTGAGTTGTTTCTGGGTTTTTTTATTGTTGAGTTTTGAGAATTTATTCTATATTCTGTTCTAGGAAATAGTCCTTTCTGGGTGAATGCAGTAGCTCATACCTGTAGTCCCAACACTTTGGGCGGCCAACACAGGCAGATTGCTTGAGCACAAGAGTTCAAGACTAGCCTGGGTAACATGGCAAGACCCTATCTCCACAGAAAATACAAAGATTAGATGGGTATGATGGTACATACCTGTGGTCTCAGCTACCCAGGAGGCTGAGGTGGAAGGATCACTTGAGCCAAGGGAGGTCACAGTGAGCTGTGATCATACCTCTACACTCCAGCCTGGGTGACAGAGCAAAACACTGTCTAAAAAAAAAAAAAAAAAAAAATCTTTTGTTGAATGTTGAATGTATGGCTTGCAAGTATTTTCTCCCAGTCTGTGACTTGTCTATTTACCCTCTTAACAGGGCCTTTCACAGAACAAAAGATTTTTTTTATTTTGATGAAGCCCAATTTATCAGATTACTTTTTTAGATTGTGCTTTCTTTTTGTATTAAGACTAAGAACTCTTTGGCTAGCTCCAGATCCCAAAGATTTTTTTTTCTAAAATGTTCATATTTTTACATTTTACTTTTAAGTCCATGATCCATTTTAGTTAATTTTTGTAAATAGCATGAGACTCATAGGGTGTGGTGATATCAGGTATATGGTTTGCACTCCTTCAAGGGGATGGGTGCAGATTTGCATGGGCCTCCTTCCCTGTCAGTGCTTGCTTTAGCTGTGTCCCGTAAACTGTGATATGTTGGTTTTAAAATTTTTATTACATTCAATCTGTTCTTTTATTTCTCTTGAAACTTCATCTTTGACCCATGGATTATTTACTGTTGTGTTGTTTAGTTTCCAAGTGTTTGGTAATATATCTACTATCTATTGTTGATTTCTAGTTGGATTCCATTGTGGTCAGAGAAGGTACTCTGTGTGGTTTCATTTCTTTTAAATTTGTTGAGGTTTGTTTTATGTCTCAGAATATGGTCTACCTTGGTATGTATGGGTATTTGAAAAGAGCATGTATTCTACTGTTGTTGAGTGGAGTGTTTTAACATTGTGAATTAAATCCTGTTGTTTGATAGTGTTGAGTTCTTCTGTATCTTTGCTGACTTTCGATGTTGTTCTATCAATTTTTGAGGAAAGGATATCTTTGCTCTAAAGTCTGTTTGCCCTGAAGTCTATTTTATCTGATATTAACATAGCTACTCCTTTTTTAAAATTAATGTTTGCATGATGTTTCCTTCATAATTGAAGTATCTTTTAGACAGCCTGTAGTTTGGTCATGTTTTTTATTCTCTTCTACCAATCTCTGTTTTTAGTTGGTGTATTTAGACTATTCACATTGAATGTAGTCATTGATATGTTAGCGCTTCAGTCTGCCATTTTGCTTTTTTTTGTTTTCTGTTTGTTCTCTGTGTTTTGCGTTTCTTGCCATCTGGTATGTTACTTGAACATTTTATGGAATTATTTTTATTTATCTGTGGTGTTTTTAGTGTATCTCTTTTTATGGCCTTTTAAGTTGTTGCTTTAGGTATTCCACGACGTAGCTAATCCCAGTCTACTGGCTGGGAAGGATAGAGGTTCTCTTTGCCTCCCCTGTGACCTCCACTACTAACGTGGTCAGGGAAGGAATGGCCTTTCTGCCTCTGAATGGAGGCAGAATTCCTGGCTCTCCATTAGGCCTCCTTTGACATGACCCCATTGAAGACGGGGAGGGACCTCATTACTGCCTCATGGAGGTAGAAGTCCGGGCTTCCCACATGGTGCCCACTGACATCCACCAAGTATGAACAGAAGTACCAGCTACCCTCCTGAGCCTTCCCTGACACCATGACAGTGGAGGGGAGGGCATAGGTCGGGGCTTGGAATGCCCCATTATAGCCTGGTGAGGATGGAAGTCTGGGCTCCCCACTTAGCCTATGCTAGAATAGGTCGGGGTGGAGCCACATTTTTTCTGTGGTGTTTGGCTGAAGTAGATCAGTTAATACCTAAACAGTTCCTGTCTTTTAGGGCTGCCGCTTTCCTTGTCTGTCCCTTGCTAGAGAGAATAGGCTCTTGTTGTGGTGGTGTTATTGTTTTAGGGTATGGTGTTTTGTTTTGTTTTGTTTTGTTTTGTTTTGTTTTGTTTTCGTCTGTGCCCAGTGGCATTTCCAGGTTGCTGGTGTCTTCTTACAAGTCTGTATATGTGAATCAAAAGAAAATTCAGAGAATTCTTTGGGTCCCAAGATCACTGACCAGTCTGCCTTCTTTCCACAATCTGGAGTCTTTTTGTGTTTGATTTATAATGTTCAACATTTTTAGTTGTATAGTCAGCCCTCTGTATCCTCGGGTTCCACATCATGGATTCAGCCAGCTAGGGATTGAACATATTTTTTAATTGCATCTGTACTGAACATGTACAGACTTTCTGTCCTTGCTATTATTCCCTAAACAATACAGTGTAACAAAATAAATCTAGAGATGATCTAAAGAAGCAGTCCCCAACCTTTTTGGCACCAGGGAACGGTTTCATGGAAAACAGTTTTTCCACACACTGCTATGTATGGGAGGATACGAGATGGTTTGGGGATGAAACTGTTCCACCTCAGATCATCAGGCAGGCATTCATTAGAGTCTCATAAGGAATGCACAACCTAGATCCCTCCCAGGTGCAGTTCACAATAGGGTTTGTGCTCCTCTGAGAATCTAATGCTATCACTGATCTGACAGGAAGCAGAGCTCATGCAGTAATGCTCTCTGGTCTACTGCTCACCTTCTGCTTTGCAGCTGGTTCCTAACAGGCCACAGAATGGTACCAGTGCACTGCCCAAGGGTTGGGAACCTCTGATCTAAAGTATACAGGAGGATGCGCATAGCTTACATGCAAATACGACACCATTTTATATCAGGGACTTGAGCATTCGAGGATTTGGGTATTCATGGAAGGTCCTGAAACCAGTCCACTGCAGATACCAATGGACAACTATATGTAGCAGGAGGAATAGGGGAAAGGACACCTGCTGCAGCTCCTGAAAGAGGAGGTTTTCATCTGTCCATTTAAAACCATTCGGAGGAATCTCGTGCTTTTCCTCACCTGTGTTCTCTCTGCCTGTAACATCTTTTTCTCCTTTTGCAGCATCAGCCACTATGTAATTGTCATGTCCATGACCATCTTTTTGGTGTTCCTCAATGGCCTGGCCCAGCTGCTCACAACAAGGAAACTCAGACTATGTGGCAAACCCAAAAGTCACTTGATGTGATGTTGCTGAAACACCATTCGGCATCTGGATCCTGATTCTCCTTTTAAACTAAAATCTCATCAAGGATTCAATCAGAAGATGAGTATTAATGGATAATATATTCTACTCCTGTAAGGACAATTGTATTTGGCATTCTGAATTGACAGGTTATCTGGAACAAAGGAGCTTCTTTTCTTTTTTCTAGGTTTTGCAGGCATGAAATAATGATTATATCTGTGGAAAAGCATAGGAAGACATTCTCCATTTTCATTTTTTTCCTTTAGCTGGCAGCTTTTCCTAGTGATGTTTAGAGCACCTGCAACAATCTGGTCCCCAACCACACAACTTCCCACATACCCAAAGGAGAACATATGCCTGTGGGGGCAGTGCTGATGGCATCCAGAATCATTGCCGTGGCTGAACTGGAAGGAAATCACCAGGTGGCACTATAAATATTTATCAGCTTTCAACACTGGTTTTGTTAGACAATCAGGGTGTATTATTTCAAATTTGCTAAAGCTTCAGTAGAAAAAATGTTTGCAGGTATTTGTGATGTTTCTTTAGTATGCAATAATACTATCTTAGCCTTTTTAGTGCTATTTCTAGGATTTTCCTAATCAACCATCATGTCTAACCTTCACTTTTTTTTCACTTCTGGATTTTCATGGAATTTTGAATGATACGAAAGTAGAAAATGCTTAGTATTTGTGTCTTATACATAGGAAAAAAATTAAAAGAAATAGTTTTTAATTGTATGTTCAACATCTGTTACCTCTGTAGCTTTTTCATATATTGTTTTTTTTCCTTTTAATTTCTTTTTACTGCCATCTATTATTTTAACAGGATTTTAAAAATCAATGGTTAAGCTTTCTGACAATATCATAAGAATTCATATTAAAGTTGTTATTCTTCGTGGTTGTGAGATTCTAGCCCAGAGGTCTAAAATCTCTTCAGCAAATTAGATTTCCATTTGTAAACACTTCTAATGGGCAAATTTTTTTCAGAGTAGTTTTTATTTCGATTGTCCATAAAATTCCCCTTATGTATCCCTGTGGAGCTGGCCTTTTGTCCGTGATGTGCCAGTAGCTTTTGGCTGATGCTAAGCTTTCCTGGTATGTGCCCTATTTTTAAAAAGTAATTGCTTTTGAATTAAGTTATAGCATTGCTAATTCACGTTAATGACTAGGAAACTCTCTACAGTTTACTAGATTTTTCAAATTGGCAGGGAGTGAATAAATCTAATTTAAAAGAGTCAGAAATCAGTTTGGCAAAGAGTACTTTCTTAATTTCAATTTAGGATGAAGTATAGTTATAATTTATTTGTAATACTACTTTATGGTATAGCAGTGAAAGAATTATAGTATAAAAAAGAGGTGTTGATGTTTTATGAAATCGCATGCATCAGTTCATAGTATTTATCTAGCTGAACAGCTAAGAAGCTGTGGTAGCAAACACTGACATTGATGGAACAGGAATGATGAACTTTCAGATTACCTGAAAGGATTATTTTTATTAGTTTTTTTCACACATTAGAGAACACTGTATAAATACTTACCAGTTACCTCTTTATGTAGTTTTGTTTTTCATCCTTTCCCAAATTTTTATATAATTAATATTTCATTACAACATTGTAAAATGTGCTCAGTTTTTTATCTTTATTTTGCTCTTTGAAGCATGTCTTTTTCTTCATTTTATCCTTTCAGATTAGTGAGTCTATAGAATGGGTTGAACTTGCTTCTGACAGTATCGTAGAGTTTGTGTTGTGTACCTGCAGCACGGGCTTGCCTCGCTGCACCGTAGCTGGCCCCTTCAGACTCAACGTAGGAACAGGCCTTTTCTGTTGCAGTTTCTCAGGTATCTTTAAATGTTTTGAAATGCATATTTTTATATTGAAAAACAGAGAAAAAAGAAACAAGAGTTAGGGAAAAAGTATTTCTATTTAAGGTATTTATTTTGTCATTCTACCTATGCCATAGATTTCCCAATCAAGACTTAGGACATTTGATGATTACTAGTGTTTAAATTAAGAATTGTTATAAGAATTAAAATGGGCAGAACAAATTGTGAAAATACTGAACCAAAAAAAAAGGCCATGCTGTAATCTTAGAGGGCCCGTGAATAAATCTTAGAGGGAACGCTAAGACTACAGGAAACGACTGCAGCTTGTGTGTCATTTCCCAGTATGTTAACTATTGTATTTAGTGTACACTATTTAGAATACAAAATGCATTTTTATTTTTTATGAAAATAATGTTATTGATAACATATTTTCATTGTAATGTGTTCAAAATTATTTATTAATGATGGAGCTGAATTAGAAAAGCCCTTCATTCCTTATAATACTGTTTCTCATGAAAAATTGTTACAAATTTCAGCCAACTGATATTAAGCACATCAGTGTCAACCCTTCTCCCCTCCTGCCACCTTTATACATTTGTTTTGGTAGACTAGGGGCTCCTTTTCTCCTCCTTTTTGACATATAACTGTGCCGGTAAAAGCACGATTTCTGATGCAGCTGGCCTAGAGGGAATGAAGGAGACGCGTGGGTGTGGTCCCTGGGACAGGCGTAGCTGCTGCAGAGCTTCCCTGTGCTTGGGAGAATCGAGGGAGCTCCCGTATTCACACTAGATGCCGTCTTGGGACTGAAGAGAATGGACCTAAATCAACTCTGTCATTTGGAGAAGCCCCTGTTTGACCAGTTCTGAGAACTCTTTTCTTTGAGAGACCAGAGTAACTTGGTCATTTCTCGCCTTTTCATAGTTGTTCTTTTTATGTTGACATTCCCCTTACTGTATTTAAAATGCTTCAAAGTATTAATGATTGTTATGCTGTGTGCTTTCAGTACGATGGTCATATCTTTTTAGCATTTTCCCATTTCTGTATCAGCATGGTTTTTTGTTTTGCTTTTTTTGTTTTTGTTTTGAGACATGGTCTTACTCTTGCTCATGCTAGAATGCAGTGGCATGATCTCGGCTCACTGCAACCTCTGCCTCCTGGGCTAAAGCGACCCTCCCATCTCAGCCTCCTGAGTAGCTGGAACTACAGGCACATGCCCCCCACACCTAGCTAATTTTTAAAAATTTTTTTGATGGATACAGGGTTTTACTATGTTGTCCAGGCTACAGCATTTTTTTTTTTTTGAGACTGGGATTTCTTTATAATGCTTTGTTATTTTAAAAAGATGAAAAGGAGACATTAATTATCAAAATGTTCTTTAATTGGCCTCAAAGGACTAAATCTAGAATTATTATTACCCTTGGGTAAACTCATAAAAAGTGCTTAATATTCATTCTATAAAGAAACAAAAAGAACCTTTGAGATGTGTCTCTTATTCATTTCCTTGGGTACACTAAAACGTATCACAGTTATTTTTCAACTTTCTACCTTTAGAATTGCAGCATTTATTTACCACACAGCAGGATTTCTCAGAGTTTGTCCCTTAGAACATTGATTCCTTGTAATATAAATAAATGTCATAATAAAAAGAGTTGTTTGTTTGTTTATCTGTTTGTTTGTTGAAACAGAGTCTTACTCTGTTGCCCAGGCTGGAGTGCAATGGCCCTATCTCAGCTGACTGCAGCCTCCACCTCCCGGGTTCAAGCGATTCTCCTGCCTCAGCCTCCTGAGTAGCTGGGTTACAGGCACAGACCACCATGTATGGCTAATTTTAAAATGTTTAGTTGTGACAAGGTTTCACCATGTTTATCAGGCTGGTCTTGAACTCTTGACCTCAAGCAATCCACCCACCTCGGCCTCCCAAAGTACTGGGATTATAGGCCTGAACTACCACGCCCAGCCAAAAAGAGTTTCTTAATTAAACATATTTGAGAAACATCTAGTCAAACCACCTTAAATAGATGCATTTACTTTAATTTTCAGGGAATTTAACCTGTGATGTGTGTTGTGAAGGCAGGAAGATAGCATTATGCCAAAAGTTTCCACTTCCTTGACAGCAGACCCTATCTTAGTTTCTTTCCTGATTGGTAAACATAAGAAATGTTTCCAGGCCGGGCTTGGTGCCTCATTCCTATAATTCCAGCACTTTGGGAGGCCAAAGTGGGTGAATCACTTGAGGTCAAGGGTTCGAGACCAACCTGGCCAAGATGGCAAAATCCTGTATCTACTAAAAATACAAAAAACAAAACAAAACAAAACAAAACAAAAAACCTGGCAGTGTAGCAGACTCCTGTAATCTCAGCTACTCAGAAGCCTGAGGCACGAGAATTGCTTGAACCTGGGAGACGGAGGTTGCAGTGAGCCAAGATCATGCCACTGCACTCCAGCCTGGGCAACAAAGCAAGACTCTGTCTCAAAAAGAAATTATCCATATACTTTTACACTAAAACCTCAATTTGTCATAGTTTTGAAAATAGAGTATTGTGTGCTTGACTGAATTTTTTTTTCCTGAGAACTAGAATACCATTTTTACTGTAACCCTCAATGTGGGAAAACTTTACAATTTCTTGCAACTTTTCCTGCCTCTGTATAAGTTATACCTGCCATCATTTAGTCTTTTATACGGGAAAGGCCACTGCTGCCGGCCTGCAACCAGTTCATCACAGCTCATTGTGCAGCCCTGTTGGAGTTTAGACCAAGCCTTTATACCTTATGTTTTATATCTTTTACTTGAAAAATAAATTTGCACCAAATTTTAACTTGTTTTCTTATGATTTGACATTGTAGAAGGTGATTAGTAGTTACATTTTTTATAATCATTTGTTATTCAAAAACATTGTAAAAAGAAAACATCAATTATCAAGATTTCCTTTAATTGGGCTGAAAGGGCTAAAATCTAAAATTATTGTTACTCTTGGGTAAATTCATGAAAAGATAAATTCTTGTTACAGAATAATTTAATTAGCTTGACTGGTATCAAATAGCAATTGCATCAAACATCAATGATTCCATTAATTTTTTTAAAGTTGTTTTTACTTTAAGTAGATAATATTCAGTGAATTTGAGTAATATGATTAATGAAGGGACCAACAAAGGTAATTGTCAATCTTACAGACATAAACTTTTACCTAGAATATCTCAATATTAGTAGAACATCTGGGAATAGTTGGTCAACATTTTAAAAGCTCCTCTCCTTGCTGGTGAGAAGTAATATTCTTAAAGTTACAAACCATACAATTAAATTCCAGTTTACCTGATACATGTTTTTTTGTCATGTCCTATCGATATATCATGTTATTGTGATTGGTTTTATTTTATTAAAAAAACTCATCGTAGCACAGCCAGGTGATCTACGTGTGCATCAATAGTGATAAGTTACGTTGACAGCGTGTACCCTGGATACATGATGAGAGTGGCACTTTACCTATATGGGCTTCCTCCCCAACACTCCCAAACCCAATCTAATTATGAGAAAAAGAGACAAATCTCAATATAGGAAGGAACATTTGGCAAAACACGTGGTGAGTGCTCTTCAAAACTGCCAAGGTCATCAAAAACAAGGAAAGGCTGAGGAACCATCAGAGCCTGGAGAAGCCTATGGAGAAGATGTGGCACCCTGGGTGGGGCCCTGACGCAGAAATGGACCTCAGGTACAAACTAAGGAAATCTGATAAAGTATGGACTGTAGTGAATAAAACATCAATATTGGTTCATTAATTGTGAAAAGTGTGCCTTAGTAATTAGTCATCATTAGGTGTTAATAATAAGAAAAATTGGATGAGGGAGTGTGTGGGAACCTTCTGTACAAATTTTGCAGTTTCTATAAAACTATCATAAAATAACGACGTTATTTAAAATTGTATTTATAATGTTATATTTTTTAAATTTTTACTATGTACACATAATTTTACATAAATGCATTGGAAGCATAATAACAGAGAAGCAGAGGATTAAAGGGGTGGTTCAGTGGTTTTTTTCTGGTTTTGTTATTTCTCCCGAGTTTTCTCTCTGCTCTTTTACTTCTGTTACTCCCCTCTGAGTCATGTTAGAGCCCAATATGTATAGCACTTTTCTTCCTGGATTACTTTCCATCAATTATTGAGGTAATTATTATGTTTTTTGGGGACAGGGTTTCACTCTGTCACACAGGCTGGAGAGCAGTGGCACAATCATGGCTCACTGCTGCCTTGACCTCCAGGGTTCAAGCAACCCTCTTACCTAAGCCTCCTGAATAGCTGAAACCACAGGCTAATTTTTAAATATTTTATAGAGACAGGGTCTCACCATGGTGCCCAAGATGGTCTTGAATTCCTGGGCTCAAGCAATCTGCCCCTTTGCTTCCCAAAGTATTGGGATTAGAGGTGCGAGCCACTGTGCCTGGCTAATTATTATGTTCAACATAAATCTCATGTTTGTGTAGTGCTCAGCAGGGCTTTTGCTCAGCATTTCCTCTTCTTGAGGTAACCTGAGGTAACAGAAACATTGCTAACCTTCTGCTTCTGGCAGGAGCTAAAATTTTTTTATGACCCTTCTCACCACATTTGACTAGTTTAGAGGTGCACATCTGACCCAAGCCAGACCAATCTGAGTTTGCAAGATTTTCAAGCTGGAACGGAAAGTTTCTAAGATTCAAAGTTTCAGAGCCGTTGTTCGCCCAGTTTAATTAGGTGAGATATTCTAGTAACCTTCCAATAAGTAATCTGTTTAAAAAGGGATGGGAGATTGAATTCACTGATAGCCTAAGAACACTGTGGATTATGAGAAGTCCAAAACTCCACTTAAAATGTAATTTTTGTACCTGCTTTTTGCCTTCTGCTAAGTTGGAATTGAAGGAGCAGAATAGTTCCACGAAAACTGGTTCAGACTTTATCCCTCCAATTCACAATGCTACTTTCATGCCTGATATTAGAAAATGTTTAAGTGCCCAGTTTTGGTATTATGTAGTAAAAACAGGAATTTAAAAATCTTAGCTTTGCATAGCCTCTATCTCCAAGAGAGCTCTTACATATTCATTCCTCCAAAACAAAACACAAATGTTCTCATAGGTGCTACAGGAGAAACAGTAGCACAAATAATCCCTACCGAGAACCTGCCATGTGCCAAGTCCTTTGGCAGGGGCTTTACATTCATGATCTCATGTAATTGAGTTATTGCAACCACTTGTGCAAGGCCAGACCTCAGCGAGCCTGGTCTGGCTTCCAGGCTATTAAAAAGGATTTCAGACTCTGCTCCAGTTTGATTTTTCTTCAGTGAAAGCAACAAACACTGGAAAGATAGTAAAGAGAGAATAATGTATAGATGGTTTTGCCCTCCCCTCAAAGGTCTCTCCAGCTCACCTTGCCTCAAGATTGGGGCTTTTAGAAGCCCAGGGAGAACGATATGCCCAGTAGAGCAGAAGAACACAGAGCATGGGCCCACTACCCTCAATGCCCACAGCCACGGCAGCATTCCCAAACAACTTACATCATCCTAAGAGGCAGTGGCTGTGCCACTGAGGAGGGCCAGCTTCACTATGCCTTTACATCCCTGCTTTGTCTGCACTCTGGGACCCTGGGCTGTTCCACCCGGGCCGACTGAGGGGCTTTCATGTGGACAGGCATAGCCATGTCCAACACAACACCAACCAAGGTGGGTATTAGCCTTATTTTCCAGATAAGAAAACTGAAGTTCCAGGAGACTAAATGAATGTCCCCAAGTCCTCCCTTTGGCAAGTTGATTTGCTAGTCAACTCAGAGCTAATTTCAGTCTAAGTCTGAAACTAAAACTTTTAATCACCAGGTCCTTTAGAGGTATACAACTGCTTCCTTGGGGATGCTGGAACGGTAGTCCACACAGAGGATAGCACTTGGAAACAAAATACATTTATGTTTTGCTTAGGTCACATGAGTGGAATTTCATAGATGATGACAGCAGTAGTCTTAATGTGCAGGTCAGTGGCATGAGTTAAAATAACCCATTGCATTAATCAGCAAATAATTCAATATCCTCTGCTAGTCAAGCAGAGTTCAGATACAAAGTATAAGACATCAGCTCT